CTTGAAAGCGGGATCTTTTGCTGTTTGATGAGTCAAGTCGTCTGCGATTGTATCTTTGTAATACATAAGCGATTCAGGTCAGGTGCACGCGCGTTTAAAGTGCGGAGTGGCAGACTGTCTGAACATAATAAATGATCACCTTAAGATACAGCTCGGCCTAAAAATGAAAATCGTGCAGTTTTTATTACCTATTCACTCTCATGCAGCTTGATTTTTCCCTGTGGAACACAAAAAATACTTTAACTTAATGTTGTTTAATTCATTTGATGAACGTTGCACTATTATTGAACAAAACTGAAGCAACACTGAACTAAATTGAGCTGATTCTGAATGATGACTCTATTGTCTTTTTTTAGAGCTGCTTTTAGTTTAATGGAGTTTGCTGCATAACTAATTAGGGGTGTAACAATATATCGTGTAAGTTACAATATATCACAATACAAAAATGTAACAATATATATCGTGGATGGATATAGTGACAATCTGTATTGTGTATGGTTCAGCCTAAATGAAAATTACTGTGCGAGTAAAAAATCAAGTTTACAGAGTTTTAATGTTAGTATTAGTATTAACATCAATATTAGTAGTAATGTATAATAATGCAATGGGGGAATATTTGTGTCCTGATAATGCCAAATGTCTTATGTTACCAGTAAAAAGTGGCCTACATTGTTTTAAATAGGCCTATATCTAGTCAGTGACAGAGTGCAAGCATATTCATCTAAAATAATTCTGTATTTTTAGCTTTAGAATCATTAATATGTTTATTCTGGTGTCACCATTATCATGTGCATTGGGTTACCAGCACCAAGTCCAAGCTTATTACCGGTAATTGAAACCCACCATGTAATAGCCTACTAATTTTAGCATTTTAATCAACTGTACGTTTTTTTGTTAACCTTTAACCACATTTGTTTTGGAGTATCGCATTCGCAATAATATTGTTTCGTCTATTCAGTCTCGTGATATGTATCGAATCGTGACATGAAGGTATCGTTACACCCCTATAACTAATGTACTTTGCAATGTTAGTACTGTTATTTTCTTGTTTATTACTGTGATGCTGCTGTATTGTACGGAAGCGTATTGCATTCACTTGAGGAAAAAAAATCTACTGTTTTTCTGAATTAACGAGTTAATTATCTTAGAATTACGAGATATTTTTTCATGAAAAAACTGTTTTTCTGAATTAACGAGTTAATATCTCAGAATTATGAGATACATTTTTCTTAAAAAAAAATTTTTTCACTCTGTTTTTATGAATTAATGAGTTACTCATAATTTTGAGATAATTAAGTCATTAATTCAGAAAAACAGAGTGAAAACTTTTTTCCATGAAAAATTATCTTGTAATTCTGAGATAATTAACTCGTTAATTCAGAAAAACAGAGTAGATTTTTTTCCTCAAGTGAATGCAATACGCTTCCGTAGTATTGTATAAAGTGCTATACAAATAAATGTAACTTGACATTGCAAGTTTTCTAAACATCCTACTCAACACCATAAAAGAATAGTTTGTCAATAGTTTGAATAGGTGCAAATGTGAACCAGAACTGACAGATGTTCAAACATTCATAAACAAAAACATGTAATGCACAGAAAGTGCATTACAGTGTCTAATTTAAATTAGACTACAGTTGAATAAAACTATGAATGACTTGTATTTACACATTAAGCTGGGGGCAAGAAAATGTCTTGTAGCATAGAAAAAATGAAACATGACCTTTAAATAATAGCCTATTATTCACATAAATATACTCTATGGCTTCTGAAAACTTATATAGCGCACTTATATAGTTTTTTTTTTTTTTGGTCCTTTTTTGTGACATGATGATGAGCAGAATAATGAATATATAGCCTACTCTTCAAAGGTTTGGGGTCAGTAAGATTTTGTTTTATAGGAAATTAATAGTTTTATTCTGTAAAATGATATTAAATTGATTGAAAGTGACAGTAAACACATTTGTAATGTTACAAAATATTTATAAAAAAAAAAGTGTTCTTTTGAACTTTCTATACATCAAAGAATATTGAAATATGGTTTCCACAAAAATATGAAGCAGCAGCACAACTGTTTTGAACATTGATGATCATCTGAAATGTTTCTTGAGCAGCAAATCATCACATTAGAATGATTTCTGGAGGATCATGTGACACTGAAGACTGGAGAAATGATGCTGAAAATTCAGTAACTTACATTTTAAAATGTATTCAAATAGAAAACACGTATTTTAAACTGTACTAATATTTCACAATATTGCTGTTTTTACTGTATTTCTGATCAAATAAATGCAGCATTGGTGATTATAAGAGACTAGTGTAGTATATTTAGCACCTTTGCAGCTCAAACAATAAACACTACAATAAAACCGCAACATTGTTAGGTGACCTGTCCCTTTAAAACTGAAAAGGCACTTCAAGGGGAGAGTTTTCCAAACTGAGAGCATCACACAGCGCAGAGAAACAGGTCACTCGTCCCTGACCCCTACAGGTCTATTCCCAACCCCCTATTTCTCTCTGTCTGTCTTTCTGCTTCCCTCCCTACCTCGTTCACATCATTTCATTACGGCACTCTCAAGGACAGAATCACAGTGCACCACACACACCTACTTCACGAGGACATTGGCAGGACACTAATCTGCTGCCTCATCAATTTTAGCTCGTCCAGAGAGACACTGTAATATTGTGTGCACATACACGCACATAAATCGTATACGCAACGAGTCTCCGTCGTCTGTCCTCCACTTGAGGATACACGTCTCAAATTACTGGCTAAACAGATCGGGAAGCAATCCCTCTTTTTCAAAGCGACCTATCAGAGTGCTCCGTTGCCTCCACCAATCTTTCTGCATGGTAACAGAGCTGGTAAACGATTGGCCGAGAAGGAACACTGAAGCCATGCCAAGGCTAATCTACTGTTACAAACACGACGCACAGAAATATGACAGCCACAACCAAAGTCAGCACTGCGGTAGGTAGTACATTAGCTGATGCTGTAGCTGCGGTCTCATCGGCTAATAGAGCCTGCAGTGAAAACAAACACACAGTCGTCAGAAAGGCAACTATCTGTCGCATTAGCAGTCATTATCCAATCAACACAAGAGCATCTGAAGAGTTGCTGACTCAAGGCAACAGTGACAAACAAACCGTAACAGCTGCACAAACATTAGCTGCGCAGGCAGATGGAACAATAGAGACTTTAATGAGTTTTAATGGATGAGGAGGAGTAACATTATGAGGTCAAGGAATAGGCCTTGGCAACTAATTGCAAAATAAGTACTAAAATGATTAAAAGTGAAGACAAAAAACCCTAAATAGAAATATTTTTTTAAACGGACAACTGCTTTTTCAAGTTGTGCATTCATGCAAGCTTTTTGGGCTAGCCTTACCCACAACCCCTTGGAGGAGAATGCTTCTGTGGCAGTTTCCCGGGGACTTTGGCAAAGCAAGGCTCGCGAGGTCAAAGCTAGCAGCGTTTTTTAACTGTATGAGTCTATAAGTTAAAGGTAGGGTAGGCAATTTGTTTTATAAACATTTTTGTTATACTGGTTGAAACTCTCTTCACATCCTGATAGCAATCAATAATAGAAGTGCTCTAAATATTAAAACATGTACATCTTCGGTGGATAACTCAGGACCAAACATTGCATTTGGTCCGATATCCTTTCTACCTATGTATTTCCATACCTCCGCGTACCTGCTCGCGCAGACTTCACAGTTCATCAGCGTGATCCATGAGGCTATGCAGAGTTGTAGACAAACAGTCACCGAGCGCCACAAACAAACATCAGCACCTTTTACAGTTCCTCCTGAACCAAAACAATGAGCTTATGCTGCGTCCACACCATGTCTTAACCGTAATCACGAGATGGCAACCCTACCCGGAGCTGTTCACGTCCTCCGACTTGGATTTATGTGTTTACATGTCAACAGCATCAACGGTAAAATGAATCTGCAGCTGTCAGGTGGTACAGGTCAGCGCTCTTTAAGTTATGTTCATTATTATTGTAATGTTATGTGGTTTGAGACATGAGGTAATTTACCGCTTTGCAGACTCTGCTGTGCGCGTTCATGTGTTTTAAAGGAGGTGTGACTTTGTAGACGCTCTGAAGGGTGGGATCTTATACTTTCAAAGCTAACTTGCTAATGCTAACCTCTACGCAATTGCCAACCCTACCTTTAAATAGTAGTGATTTTAGACAGATGTTGCCACTCACATGCAAAAGCAAACAGTACGTGACAAAGGAGTCTGTGGTATCAACATGCAATTTCATGACACTGGTGTCCCAATTCTGCCAACATACTCAAAAGGATGTATATTACCATTAAAAGCAAAGTACACAATATAGTAAGTGGAAGTATGCAAATTGAAATGCAGTAAACTATGTAACCTTTTTTGTTTGAAATGAACTAGTACATCATAAAACCATCTTCCAACCCATGTTTTTGCCTTACCCCAAATCACAATGGTACGCATATAATAATTATTTATATTATTGTTGGGACGATTTCCTGGGAAACTGCATAATGCTTTCGTCATTCCTCCATGCATGTTTACAGCATATCCGTAAATAAAGAAAAAAGAAGGTCAGGCTACTTCTATATGCAGTTGAAGTAGCTTGAAGCCGCAGCTGAACATCGAACCCGAAAAGAGTTTTGCAAGCAAAAAGGGAAAGAGACAATATCCATAATAAAACATGAATCAACATAGCATCACTTTTGCTGTGCATTGACACAAAACAATGTTTAGTTCTCTAAACTAGTAACTGCTTTGGTCTATTTGCCTATAAATAGCCTTGCCAAGTTATAGTTTCCATCTGATATGAATAGCAATCGTAACGTCTAATGTCGGCATTGCAAAATTTTTGTAGCGTTATTTAAAAACAACATGCATATAAGTTTTATGCTTAAACCACAAGAAGGCTAAAAGTCACATGGTGTAGCTTTATAGTCAATTGTTTCTACTTCATTATTTAGCACCTCATGCACAGTTGCTTTACCTTTTCCTGGTACTGGCGTCGTGAGGAGTCCAGTGATTGGATGAGGGCCGTGGCGTGTCCGATGAAGACGGCATAGCAGGTGGCACCAACAATCATGCTGAGCATCGTCAGCCAGATATCAGAGAGACTCTCCGGAGCTTGACGACCATAACCAATACACAACATGTGACTCATGGCTTTAAACACAGCAAACGAGTACAGCTCACTCCACGTGTCATTCTGCAGAGAGAGAAAGACAAACACAGAACATAAACCGTACGAAACTGCAGCTCACATCACCTATGCCAATCTGAAAGCACTATAACAGTAAAAAGCATCAAGACTTTTGCACTATAATACACTTTCACTCTATGGAAAACAGCAGCATCAACATTTTGCTTAATACCTATATGTTCACCAAACAGTGTGGCAAAGTTACTTATAGTTAGTAGAATGTCTAAAGTGGACTATAATAAAGTGTAATCCACAAGGCTGTATAAATAATGACAGAATTGTCATGCTTGGCTTCAAGCGTGGCTCAAATAATATTATTTACAGGCCTGGTTTTACAGAGAGGGTTTAAATTAAGCCAGGATTAGGCCTTAGTTCAATTAGGACATTTAAGTAGCTTTTTTAAACATGCTTTAGAAAAAACATTACTTGTGTGCATCTTGAGACAAAAAAATGGCACTGATATATTTTAAACTTTGTCACTGCAAGTTGCTTTCAGTTAAGACAGCTCAAACATGCATTTTAGTCTGGGACTAGCTTAAACCTTAGGGTTAAGTCTGTGAAACCGGGGGATAATGTGTTCTTTTCCACATTTGATGGATGCAAACCAAATTGAAAACAAATCTGGATTTAGTGGAAAAACAGTTTCATATTTGAACATGTCAGATGGGGAACATAACAATAGTAAAACACTGTGAATCTTTAAAATAGTGGAATGGTACAATGCTGTCACATGACCACACTATGTTGCATGATTAAGCGAGTGCCATCCATTTATCCACCATCCACAGAGCTGTTCATTCAGCTCCAGCTTGTTATGACTGCACCAGACAGCCAGCTGTTCAACATCTTGCCTATATGCAGACTCATAACCATTGTGTAGGATTCTGATGATGAGTGTAGTGTCATCCGCAAACTTCAGGAGCTTGACAGAAGGGTTTTTGGCGGTGCAGTCGTTCTTAGAGCAGTGGGAGAGCACACATCCCTGGGGGACGCCAGTGCTGATTTTGTAGGTGTTAGATGTGAAGTTGCCCATTCTCACTAGCTGTTCCCTATCTGTCAGAAAGCAGGTGATCCATTGACCGGTAGAGCTAGGAACAGAGAGCTGGGTTTTTTTAGACTGCAGGAGTCATGTGATGGTGGTATTGAAAGTCAAACTGGATTCCACATATAGGATCCTCACATAAGTCCCTGGTTTGTCCAGATGTTCCAGGATAAAATGCAGTCCCATGTTGACTGCATCATCCACTGACCTGTTTGCTCGATAAGAAAACTGTAGGGGGTGCCTGTGATGTCCCTCAGGTAAGCCAATACCAGTCTCTCAAATGACTTCATAACCACAGATGTTAGAGCAACAGTTCTGTAGTCATTAAGTACTTCTTTCTTGGGATGGGGATGATGGTAGAGCATTTGAAGCAGGAAGGGACTTCGCACAACTCCAGGGATTTGTTATTGATCTGTGAAAAGATGAGGGCCAGCTGGACAGCACAGGTTTTTAGACAGGCTGCTGAAACACCGTCTGGGCCTGGTGCTTTCCTTGTCTTTTGTTTCCTGAAGATCCGACACACATCCTATTCACAGACCCGATGTGCATGGGGGGGGGGGGGGGGGGGGTTACTGGAGGTGTTGATGGTTGTGCAGAGAGACTATAAGATTGGGTGTGGGGTGTGAGACTGTGATTTTCAAATCTGCAGTAAAACTAATTCAGGTCATCAGCCAGTTGTTGATTCGTTGTTTTTCAGCTTTTCATATCTCAATCCAATTGAAGATATCTGGGATGTGCTGGACCAACAAGTTTGATCCACTGCGGCTCCACCTTGTGTAACTCCTCCACCCGGGTCCCACTCGACCCGCTCCGAGCGGGCCTCGAACCCGGGTCTCCGGCATGAGAGTCAGGCGCTCTAACAAGGAGGCTAAAGACTGCAGCCTCTAGCGCTAGAGAGCCTTTTGAGATCAGAGGAGTGAGGTTTACTCGCACAGCAACAACTAGCTGGCCTCCGTTACACTTGCAACATACAGGACTTGAAGGATCTTCTACAAACATCTTGGTGCCAGATACCACAGGACACCTTCAGGGGGCTTGTAGGGTCCATGGCTCGGCGGGTCGTTGCTGTTTTGGCAAACATTAGGACCAACAGTATATTAGGCAGGTGGTCATAATGTTTTGGCTCAGTGGTGTATGTTTCATATTCTGAATGCAATTCATATTATAACCAAAATGTCTACAGTGCCACTTTCTAAACTCTTATAAATAAAGCATTTAGCTGCAGAGCGGATGCCTGTCAGACGTCTCGGGATGAGAGATCAGTGTGTGGTGGGGCTCTGCCAGCAGTCTCAAACAAGAAGCCATTAAATGTGCCCTTTTTAAAAATGTGTCTGCTGCCTGACTTGTGCTGACATCCGGCTAATTCCCAAGGCAAGATTAATTACGGTTGCTGTCCTCTGAAAACTGAAAACCACCCTATCATGACTCTATAAGACCCCAGATTACAAATTGAAATGGTTACTCTATGTGTCAAGAGTCTAATAAATAATATTATATTATATATATGTATTATATATTATTATAATATATTTAGATGTTTAGTTAGAACATTTTGGCCGAATAGCATACTATTTGTAAGCATGTGGACAGTATGCAAATGTGCATATTTTGCAGTATGCATGGAAAACTACATTTGTCAAAATGTACAGTGTCCAAGTGTAAATTAAAAAAAAGGCCTAGATTTTCAATATAGCCTCAAGGTGCACGCCAATTCAAGTCCCACTTAAACACTATTCTATGCCATTTTGTGGTATAAATAGAGTGAGTAGTGTGTACACACTAGAAACACCACAAATAAAAAGTGTACTTCAAATGATGATATTTAATTAACCGAAAAATGAAGTGCGGCATGTTGGACACTTCATGCACTCAACTATTGCAGCTTTTCTTACGTAGCCAAAGGGGAGGGGCTATCAAACTCCAATGCTGAATGACAAAATAACCTTCATACACTAGATAGTTTAGTACACACACAGTGCATAGTATAAGCGCATAGTAAGTACATAGTATACGATAAGCAGTATACTAGTATCCCATTAAAAACACAGCCTGAGTATTTTTCTCCCCCCAAGACTATAAGGTGGCATTCAGAGTAGAAGGGAAGAAGAAAAGGACTGTGAAATGAAAAATGGGAAATGAGGAAAGAGTGAGCAGGTCACTGTAAGAACAGTGGAGTGAACAGGCATGAATTATACACGAGTCTAGAACACTTTGCCTCGACAACAGAAGAAGTAGAGAGTCTATACTGAAACTCTGGACACAAACACACACACACACACACACACACACACACACTAAGAGACATTGCGTTTGCAGAGACAAGGGAATAGAGTGGATAGAGGGGGACACATTCTACAGCAGTCTATAATATCAAGTATATACTAACATAAACCTGCAACAAAGTTGACTATGTTGGGATAGGAATACTTGCATGCTGTTCAGTGCATACTGCATATTGTTTTTTTTAAATGAGTATGTGAAACATATGTAATATGTAACAATAAATCTTTCAAAAAGTAGAATGCTTCAATGTTGCCTCAATTTAGCGAGTGGCGTACATTTATCATCTGGGAAATTAAAGGGTTAGTTAACCCAAAAATGAAAATGAAAATTCATTATAATTATAATTTCATAAATTACTCTCCCTCATGTTGATCCAACCCCGTAAGACTTTCGTTCATCTTCGGAACACAAATTAAGATATTTTTGATTAAATCTGAGAGCTGGATCACTCCTCCAGAGGCTTCTTAAAGGGATAGTTCGGCCAAAAATGATATTTAACACATGCATTACTCACCCTCAAGCCGTTCGAGATGCATATGTCAATCTTGTTTCAGACGAACACATTTTCAGTTATTTTAGAAAATGTCTTAGACCCTTCAGTGGATATAATGTGAAGCAATGGGGTCCACCTCCTTCAAGTCCCAAAATGTGCATACATCCTTCACAAAAGTAATCCATCCGGCTCCAGGGGGATAAACGAAGGCCTTCTGAGGGTAATCCGTGCGGTTTTGTCGTAAAAATATACATATTTAAAACTTTATAAATGAAAATATCTGACTTCCGGCCACGATCGACGCGCGTTCACGGGTGATGGAAGTCGGCGTACGAGGTAGGACGTAGCGTAGGAACCGTCGTGACGTAGACGTTGTTTTGCTCTGCTCTCTGGCTGCGCAGGCGCGTTCGTTCTACGTCACGACGGTTCCTACGCTACGTCCTACCTCGTACGCCGACTTCCATCACCCGTGAACGCGCGTCGATCGTTGCCGGAAGTCAGATATTTTCATTTATAAAGTTTTAAATATGTATATTTTTACGACAAAACCGCACGGATTACCCTCAGAAGGCCTTCGTTTATCCCCCTGGAGCCGGATGGATTACTTTTGTGAAGGATGTATGCACATTTTGGGACTTGAAGGAGGTGGACCCCATTGCTTCACATTATATCCACTGAAGGGTCTAAGACATTTTCTAAAATAACTGAAAATGTGTTCGTCTGAAACAAGATTGACATATGCATCTCGAACGGCTTGAGGGTGAGTAATGCATGTGTTAAACATCATTTTTGGCCGAACTATCCCTTTAAGGTATTGAAACTGGCCAGCCCAAAAGTTATGAAAGACATTGTTAAAATAAACTGAGTGACTACAGTGGCTCAACCTTAAGTTTATCAAGCGACGAGAATACTTTTTGTGCGCAAAAAACAAACAAAAATAACGACTTTATTCAACTATTCATTTCCTTCTCTGTGGGCCTCGAGATTTCACGTAGTGTAACAGAGCAGCGCTTCTGTGTTGTACGTCACACACATCACACACATGACCAGCGTCGGCCAATAGTGAGCCTACGTGTGACGTGCAACACAGAAGCGCTGCGCAGTTTCACTACGTGAAATCTCGAGGCCCACAGAGAAGGAAATGAATAGTTGAATAAAGTCGTTATTTTTGTTTGTTTTTTGCGCACA